GTCTAAAGAGATGACTCGCTTTCCTTTAAACATAATCTTTAATGGCTTCACGAAAATCCAATTTCACATGATGAAAATTTAATTACAATCAGCGCATTTGGAAGTTTTTCTTATTATCCTCTCACATCTTTCTGATGTTAATATTCGGTACTTGAGGCATAAATGATTCTTTGGGGAATATATGTGTGTGTATAAATATATATAATTTTTGCTTCAAAATCCTTCAATGGGATGAAGATTTTTGAAACGGCGACAGGGTGTTGTTTCTCATTGAGGGCTGTTTTTAATTGTATGAAATTTCAAATTAAAATTTAATTATACTCGTTTATACTTTAACGTCGAACAGATACGATGAAACGAAGAAAGAAGAACAGTGTATATTAAATAAAAATATTAATTAATATCAAATTATATGTTCGAGTAGCTTTTAATTTGGGTGATGTGACGATGTTATGAGAATATGATGGCAATGTGGATGTTTTAAAAATAACTCTCATATCGGTGGAATGTTTATCATATATCATTACAACTTTTATTCAAACAAACTACCAGAAGCAAATATTACATCATTTCTTGAAGTTTTCAACGAACAAAATGAAATTTAATTTCCTTTATCCATTTCCTTTTTAAAAAAGAAGAATAAAGAATCATAAGCATAAAATATAAGATAGATTTACATCATTAAACCACATTGAAAAGGCTTCTCCTAATATTTGTCACCAAGCTGTCTCGTATTACTCTTCTATTGTGTACATGTCTTATTGTCAACAACACAAAACGCCTTGAGGTAATTCTTCCTTAAGCATAGAAATGTCCTTTGAACGACGTGACCCGTTTTTTATTTTATATTTCATTCGATATTTTTTTTCTCTTTATCCTTTCCCTTTGATATTGAAACTCGACATGAAAAGAAATATTTTTTAACAATATATTTACCAATTTAAAGATCAAATTCTGAATATAATTTGATATTATACGCAATAATTCTCAGCCTAATGTGGTTTATTAAGGACGACAATAATTAGAATTTGTGCCGACCTACCGATTAAATTGAAATGTGATGCGACCCTCTCATTTCGGATCCTGATTTACGTATCACGAACTTCAACATCTGCCATCGAAGAGAGCGAATGAACGATTAATGTAAAGTGGAATTAGTTTTCATTGTTTGATTGTTCTGCAAATAAATCTTGAATGAGGAATGGGGATTGGCCATGAATTCCACATGTGGTCTCATGAAGAACCATCGTAAAGAAGAATTGCAAACAACCTATGGGAAGAAGCTTAAATCCTGAGACTTCATAGAAAGAAGCAATTTTTGTTATTTTCTCGTTTTCTTTGTGGATTCCCTAACGTAATGACTTGCTTTATCGGCAATTCACGCAACAAATATTGATAATATTAGCTCGCAACATGAGTCTATGACAGTTTAGTTAATCTTTTATTATACCTTCGAACGATCATACCATTGAGAAATCATTAAACAAATCATCGCTTGATTCTCATATCCGCTTTGTCATGAGCAAAATTCCGTTTCAATAATCCATTTCGGTGTCGAACGATATAAGTCTGAGGATTAATTTTTATTTTCTCTCGCATCATTTGTTCAGCTCTACATTGAATGGTTCCAATTTTTTTATTTCTTCCTGCTTGTTCCCTAAAGACCAGTTGGTGACACATAATTTATATAGACATTTTATATATTATATAGACATCAGTCTCACAATGCTTTAAGCATTGAATAAAATCGGATAGGAAAATAAATCTCGATTCACATACCACTTGAACATTCATCAATATTTATTTTTGCAGTACTTACTCTTCGTTATCAAATCGACGGGCATTTGTTTATTGGCAGATAAATTTTTATCCGGATTATCACTTCATTGTTAGAAAGAACTTATCGAATATGAATGATTTGTTGAAGAGAATAATAAAATGTTTAAGTTGAAAACTTTCCATTGATTATTAAAAAAGAAATACGAAGGGCGGGGTTTTTAAGGGATGTACATTAAATATTTCTAAAGATGGTAAAATCCATCAATAAACTTTTAATGAAAGAAACTTTATAAGTTCATCAAACTTTATTCATTTACCTTCGAGCATTTTTCAATTCCTTTTATTCTTTCAATTCTTACAGATGGAAGTTATCACAACATAAAATTGAAATTTTCCAATTTTCTTGCAGCAATAACGATCACAAAAGTTTCTGCTAACTTATTCTTGTTCTTAATAAATAATTTTCCAGCTTTCATTATACAGGTTCTCATAAATATATTCAATGATTTCGTACAAAAAAAAAATTTATTTTAGTTTGAAAAGAAGTTTTGTTTTACGTGTAAGAATTTTATAAAAACAAGTTTCTTTTATGGAGAGTTTCCTGTACTTTCTTTTGTAAATCACCTTGATGCTTGCCTTGATGTATTTATTAACTTAAACTTTATAATGCTTCAAGCAACAAGAGCTGAGAGGAAACAAAAATAAGGTGCAAATTTATTTCTTTCCTCTACCTTCTCTTATATTTGTTTTTTCTCCTTCACGTTCAGCTTAAATCAAACATAACAGTGAATCGAGTTTATTCTCGTGCGCCACGCTGTTGAAAATGAAAAATGATTTTTAAATTTTCCTGTATTTCGGCGTTCTTTTTTCTTCCTTTTTTCATTTTTTCGGTACGGGAAATGCGGATTTGATTTGGTAAACTGTTTCTGGCTGGCACTCTCTCAGCGAGAACCCAAGAGCTTTCATGTATTATTAGTAGAAACATTACGCTGATTGTTTGAGTTTTCATTATTACTTTTCCAATGGAAATGGAAGCCTTGTTGCTGTAATAAAACAATTTTTATTTTCTTCTTTTCGTAGAAATGATAAATTGCTTTTTCATGATGGCACAAGCGGCGCTCACCGGTGATTTTAAAAGTCAAGTTAAGTTTCATGGCATGGTATAAAAATGAATGAATTTGCTGCCTTATGTGAGTTGACATGAATTTTCTATTCTGTCAGATTTCTTCGGCTTTTGAAGTCATGAGCAGATCATCAGTCAACAAATATTGTGATAAAATGAATGAAAAAGCAAAACATGAATCAGCATAATTCTGAAATATGAAAAAATGAATTTTGTGTTCGGGAAACCAATTAAAAAATGTTAATTTTTGTTGTTGGTGGTATAACATTCGAACGATATTCTGAAAAACTATCGAGTGAAAAGGTTATCATCATTCATCCCTCTCAATTAATTTTTAATAAACGATATTTTATTTCAAATTAAACAGAAGTATTTATTATGTTCAGTTTGTCGTTTCCCTATATAAAAATGATTTAATAAAAATGAATGTTCAGGGTAAAGATAATTAAATAGAAGTTGGAAAAAAGTTTGTAAATATTAGAAAAAAAATCATCAACGACTTCATTCTAATCGCAATTAAATGTTTTGTTTTTCTGTCTGCCAACGGCTACAAGTTTTTCAATATTTGCTATGAATAACGACTGAAATTTGCATCCAATCAGTAATTTATTTAATAATACTTGTAGAAACGATTCATTAAATTTTCATTCTGTCTATTGTTTGCCATAAAATTCAAATAAAATATTCTTTTATTGACCCTAATATTTTATAGTTATGAAAAAATTCTGAACGCTTTTCTCTATTCCTGCAATTAGTCAGTCAAGTAGAACAATTATAAATTTTTTAACTTTGGAACTTTTCACATTCATTTAATATTCATTGTTTTCAAATCAATAAAATATCTGAGGAAAAATCGTTTGATATCAAACTCAATAATACAAAGTTTGTTAGAGAATCGCAACAAGTTGAAGAAATTAAAACTTTTTACCTTCGATATTCAAACAAAAGTGTTTTTAAGGTAAAATAATTATTGTAAGAGTCCATTTAAGTAAAAACCTTCCTCAAACTTCTGTAGTAAATTTTCATTATTAAATAAATAGAAGATTTTGAAAGCAAAACTTTATCCATAACCAATTAAATTAAATTTTTCATTTTGAAGACGATGATGAAAGCATCGTGAATATTTCGATAAGTTCATTTTGGTGACGAACAAGCCTCTTGTAATTTTCAAGCTTTTGATTGTAGATTGTTTTCTAAAGACAGAGAAGAAACAAGCATGAATAGGAAAACTCTTACCAATCTAATTAAGCATCAGACTCTATTCTTCTTTTTGATCTTAAACATGTTAAGACTGTAAAGTTTTTTTCTCAAGACGAAGGTACTTCATTCCAATTAATTTATGTTTCCTATTAAATGAAATTGATAAGTTTTACTTCGTTTGAGTTTAAATTAGACTCATATGAGAAGAGATACCGTCAAACCCATATGAAACTTTTTGATATTTAGTTGGCAATAGGTTGTAACTTCGTTAGGGTTTTTGTTAATTTTAAAGTTTTCACAGATGTAGTTTATGCTCGATTCTATCGGAATCACTTTAAAGTTTAACTAACTATGTAAAGGAATCATATTTGAAGATGTTACATGTGTTACAATTTTATGATCATCGCCAAAAGTTATGCTTTTTATTCGTTCATTAACTCTTATTATATGATTACTCATTTCTTTATAAAAGATTGTCTTTGAAGATTATAGCATTCAGCATGGAAACTTTATCTTGACAACATTTCTCTTTATCATTCATTGAAAATGAACTCGCATTCTGCAAGTATGTTGACTAAAGAAATTATAATTGAAAAGAACATAATCGTTAACGACCATAATATAATGGTGCGAGTGCTTAGCAGGTTTCACAGCATATCATCTTCACTCACACCCACCGCAACTCGCAACCTCATTAATTTTAAATGTGTCGTCTTTTATCTTCTTTCGCCATATTTTAATGAGTTTCGTTCATCATTTTTTTAACTCCCCTGCTTTTATTTCTCTTTTTTTGAAACATTTTTCTAAAAAGATTTCGTCTCCCTTCACTCATTCGTCTTTTCAAAACATAGCACCACAGCAATGACATCGTGAAAATTTCCTCTTAACAATTTTCTTGAAATAAAAAAGCTTCTTTTTGTATAAGTGCAAGATGGATTGAGTCAGCCAACAAAGGTTGAAAAGAGAAATTTATCAATTCAAAGTAATCACAAACAAGCCTGTACGAACCTTTTTCCTTTTCCAAGACAATCTATCGAATACTCTTGTCTTGGGTTCCAAATATCGACTCTTGAACAGAAAAGAAAACTTTTCAACTTTTGATCGAGGATTGAAGAAAAAAATAAAAATAAACATTCAGAAATAGACGAATTTGATCCCCAAACGCCGCAGGTCGAACTCAATAAAGTTCTTGAAGCTTACAACTCTCGAAGCATGAAAATCAATCCTTAAACCAAAGAAAAACCTCAAAAGTCAGGAGTTTTGTGCCTGCACAAGATGAAAAAGAGTCTGGAGTTAAGAGTGTACAAAAATTCAACCTCGAGGGAGACAACGTAGTCGATGCAAAGGCACTAAGGCGTATCTAAATAAATATAAACAAAAATCAAATTAATTTCCTTTATTTGTTGCCTTTCACGCCTCCTCGAATGAACGAAGAGTGATTGGAGTGAACTTTTATTGGCATTTTTTTTATCAACGCAGACCTTCCATCCAAAATAAAAATCTCTTCTTATATGTTCCACTTTCACCAACCCCATCTTGATATTCAAATATTTGATCCGGGAAACATTTATTCGCATCGATGAACATTTTTGCCGTGTGTTTTCTATCTCCCTTTCCTTCTCTCGCTCTCCTTCTCTTGAATGTTATTTTGTTGATTTTTGGTTCTGATGGTAATTTGACATTTGCGTCAATCCTACATTCAAGCGAATATTTAGGCACGACAGTCGACAATGTTGTCTTCCTTTTTGCTTTCTTCTTTTGATTGAACTTTCAATCTTCCGCTTTCTTTATGGAAAACACGGTCGTCAAATGATTTTGTTTATTTTTGCGTGAAACAAGAGTACAATATTGAGTGCGTGCGGAAACAAGCGTGAAAACTTCTTAAGATTTTGTGGGAGCATTCAGAATATATGTCAAGCTGGAGAAAAATTGGGAATAAATGAAATTTATTTATCTCTCATCGTGTATATGTTTGTTAAATATTTCACAGCATTAAATGAAACGTCAAATAGATCTACATAGAAAAACGTCCTTTATCAGAAGACCCAATATTGAATTAATGTACATATCTTGACATGTCCCTCGAGAGGTCAAATCATTGAATAATTCTGTATAGACTCTGAGAAGATAAATAAACCTAATAAAATGCGATTGATATTGAAAGTTGGAGCTCAGTTTTGGGTTGATTGAGTGGCGCAATCTTTTGCTTCTGTGAGCTTTGACCGAATAAATTTTTTCGCCAAAATCTTGACCTTCATAACACGCCCAAAGCTGCTTAAATGTCAGAGGCTCTGTTGTTATCAAAAGAGCGTTTGAATTTGTTATTTAATTGTTGGTTTATAAATAAATTTATCGTAATAAATTCTCCCTTTTACTTTAATTCCCAACTCGATGGTGAAAAAAAAAGTTATTCTCATAAATAATCCCTCGGAAAAAAATTCCAACACGATGTCGCCTAATTGCATGGCATTTACAAATAAATTAAATCATTTGTTTCAACATGATAATTCATTTGGGAGCTGGTGGAGCATCAGACTTAAAGTCTTGTAATTAAATTCAGTTCCATGTGAAACACACTCAACATGAAACGAAATTATAAGGAAAATATGTTGTCGTATGTGACACACAAATTTCGCTCATATTGCTTTGCACATACCCTTCACTGTAATCTCCAGGGCGAAGGTTGTTTTAATTAGAAAGAAGAATCTTAACGTAGGTAAAATTAGTGGCGGAGAATTTCTTTCACGTTAAGCATACCTTATTTAAATGCGTGTAAATTTAATAATTATTTACGGTGTGTAAGCTAATGGTTAACAGCATAGTTAGCTGACAAAAAAGGCAAGAAATTTATTCAAGCAACAGTCAACAAAAGCATAAATCACATTCATTTGCGTTTTTTATTTAATATTTTTCTGAAATGAAACAAAGTTTGTGATAATTAATTGCATTAAGGTTGCAACATCTTTTTCTCTATCCATTCATTTCGTTTCCGGCGAAATGCAAATTGTTAAACAAAAGGTGTATTCATTGCTCTTACAATGGCATACTTACAAGGTAAAGCGAGAAAAAATTAATTAAGAAGTTATAACTTTTACACTTTCACACATCCGCAGCACTTCTGCATTTCTGCAAACTACTTGAAAACAAATTTGTGAGGATTAAAAATGACTCTCTTCTTGTTGGATAAATCCATTACTATTCAGTTTAAGTGTAATTTGTCAGAGTGATTTGACAAATTTTCTGAGTCCGACAAATGAAACAAATCGATATCGTTTCAATCTTAATTTTAAAAAATGAGAATTTTATTATACAACGATTTGCTATTTTCGAAGAATGGATCAAATGTCGTACAAATTGTTCAATTGACTCAGAAAATGGTATTCTATGTTCCGTACAATGATCTATCATCATTTTCAATCTTGAGAGCGGTAGAGAAATCAATTTTCAGACCTTTTTTTGTGTGTATGTTCCCTTAACAAACTTCAGTTTTTCGGTAGACCGGCAATAGTAAAGGACGAAACCAAGAAAGAAAGGAAAAATGTCCTTTTCAGTATTAAACTCAATTTTTAATCATGTATATAGAATTTTATCGGATGCATACCTACATACGAGCATAGATATAAGTTTATGCTTCGGAAGAACCCACAGAAGAAAAATTGAAGACAAACCGCCTTTCAACTCACAAGAAGAGATTTTGTGTGTATCTAATATTTAATGGGACAGTTATCAAGATGTGGCAAGGATAAAGTTACACAAAAGAGAAAGCAGACAAAATTTGAGCCGATTTTTATCCTTTACAATTTCTTATGTTTTAGCTTCTTATTTCTTCTTTTTTTTAATCGGCAACTTTTCTTCTTATGTCAAGTGATTGAGCAATTGTGATATCTCAATATCTACAACTCCACTTCAATCCTCACAAGCAACAATGTAAGTAAGAGACGAATTTGAGACCTCTTGAAGAGAAAAGAAAATAAAGTTGAAATCGAAGATATCACGAGATGTCGTACAACTGTAATGATCTTCAAATGTCACATTCGACAGTTCCCTTCATCTTGCATCAACTTCAAAATAAAGAAAAATTCAAGTCAAGCGAATTGGAGACAGAGAAATGGAAACGTTTTGACAATGCAATTAGATCACTTTCAGTTTTATGTTTATGTTTTGTTTTTGGTAGCTAACGCAACATACTTTTACGTTTTCCCCTTAACAACGGTAGGCTCAGTATTTGCCGGTAAATCGACTTCCTAAGGGAAAATGAGAACCTTACTGTTCCAACTGTCAGAAAGATGGAAAACAGCGAAGGGAAGCAATAAAAAATCTCCTTACGCAATAAATCTGAACTGGCAGAAATCCGCTCGATTCCCAAGCATAGATTAAACTTGAACTAGACTGTGAATTAATTTCTATATTCAATAAATAGATAATAGAATTTATTATTACAATATATTCTGTGCGGGCGGAGTAAACAAAAGCCCGTCAATTACAATATTTGTCATACATTCTCAAAACTCAGCATTTATGCTAAAATCGGTCGCATGTCGTTCGCTCGATTTTTTTTTCTTTCATGGATGGTAAGATACCGTTCAATAACATTCGAATCTGGCAAAGCTTTGCTCGCCTGTTTTGTATTGTCATCATTTTATATTGTAGGCTTAATCTCTGCACAATATCGCTCCTTCCCAAAACACAACGAATTCGTACATAAATGAACGTTTTTATTTAATATTTCCGACTGTATCGTCATTTGACTGCCGAAAATCTTCTTTTAGCTTCTTAAACATTTTGCTGACGCGATGGGGTGTGAGTAAAGGAAGTATAAAAAGCGATCTATCATGATTAATGAAGGAAGAAGGGAAGGCAAAATATTTTCCTGAGATTTGTGATTTAAGGAAATGACACAAAATCTGCTTAAAGTACGACGCGAAGCAACAGCCGCTAAATGATCGTGAGTTAATACTTATGCAAAGAGAAGTTGTAAAAAAAATTGACTTGTAAGAGTGAGAAATGAGAAAGCTGAAGATTTTAGCGTTGATTAACTTTCCTCGAATGTTGAGCATACAAATCAGATAAAGGTTCAACAGTCGCGTTTAAACCTTTCTCAGAAGAATGTCACGNCCCCACCCCCCAGCCGCTAAATGATCGTGAGTTAATACTTATGCAAAGAGAAGTTGTAAAAAAAATTGACTTGTAAGAGTGAGAAATGAGAAAGCTGAAGATTTTATCGTTGATTAACTTTCCTCGAGTGCCACTTATGACCATTGCCCTCAAATGCCTTCGGCATTTGATGGTGGTTCCTTTAAGGCCAGGATTGGCCTATAGGACCTGTCCTTGATCTCTGATGATGATGATGGACTTTCCTCGAATGTTGAGCATACAAATCAGATAAAGGTTCAACAGTCGCGTTTAAACCTTTCTCAGAAGAATGTCACGGCTTCAAAAGGTCGCGGAAGGATAAAAAATATTTAATTTTTATTATTTTGCATTTTTTAGAAAAATATTTTGAAATTTCTAAAAATAAATTTTAAGGTGAAACTTGACATCAGCTTTTTATTCCTTAATCTTTCCTTTACTTTCTCCAACAGAACTTCCTTTCAAGAACATGCTTAAAATTCTATAAATTTTTCTTCGCTTTGCTGATTCTTTTTCCTTGAAGCTTGCGAAAATATTCCTATGAGAGACTTGCAGGAAGGGGAAGTTTTAGGCAAACTCAAAAAGCAAATATTTTACAATGTCTACGAATCGTACTCGGTTACTTGCTTAGTTATACGTTTATAAACAAATATTACATTTCACTGAAGTCAAGAGAAGAAGCTCGCTTAAAACATGACATTCAAATAACTTGAATGGAAGAAATTCCCTGCAAAGACGGCAAAAAATAACTTTGCGTGTTTACTGGCTCTGAATTAGTGACGTCAGTTGCTTCTTCAACATTCTGTGTTCCAATTTTCTATAAAATCTCACTAATGGATAGATCTTAGTGCTCAGAGAGATGTGAAACATGTGAAGATACAATTTTTTTTTGTTGGACCAACAGTAAAGAAAAGATGAAAGATTCCATAAATTGATTCCAAGATTAGTTAGCTGGAAATGTGTACGTTGGCTTTAAGTTGATGAAGATGTAAGAAACAATGAGAAATTCTCTTCTCAGAAACCACAACTTTAACTTCACTTCTCTTGAGTAGTTATTTAATATTTTAACCCTTTGGATGAGAGTTAATTAAGATGGTAATTTCAATGTAGTGTTAAATAAAATTAAAATTGTAAACGATGAAGAAAGTCTACATATTTAACATTTCATGAGTTTTATAAACAACAACTTTAAGTTAAGTGGAAACAGAATTGGGAATTCATTAAACAAAATTTTACGACGAACACATTTAACGGGTTAAAGTCAAGTAAACAACCGCATGTGAAAGAGAAACTCAGAGAATACGAAATGAGAAATCAAAAGCAAAGCGAAAAGAAACGCTTCCAATGCTGAAATATTTTGTCTTCTCATCGACAGTCTCAACTCGATTTTTGTAATGGCACGAAGTTAAATTTGTTTCATGAAGTTTCGAACGCGTGTCATAATCACAGTAATAATAAATATCTGAAAAACTGACTTGAATGTTTAATCTTGATCTGTGATTAAGAAATAATTGATATTTTTTTAGTAATTTTCAATACATTGTACATGTTGAATTTCAATAGTTCGTACATATCTCGATATTGTGAAGGAAAATTCTAGAAAAGTTTAATAAATAACTGGAGTAATACCTGTAAATAAATCTTTTGCAAGATCAACATCAATTGTGTTACTTAAGAAAGTTCATTAAAGTTTGTTTGTTTCCAAGAAAATCATCTCGAGTAATCTTTTCAAAGTTACAAACTTCGATAGTGACCTCGAATCTAATAAACAAATATTTGATTTTTACTGTTTGAAAATTCAAAGGCGAACAAAGAAGTGAAATTCAGTGTCGAATGATCATGATGATAAAGTAAGCCTCTGTCGGTATGTTACTTAATCTAGCTAGTGTGATAAGAGATACGCGCTCTCAAGAGTTCATATTACTTAATGGCTTATCAACTTCAGTTTTCGGTCGAGTGAACACGATTTGTTTATGATTCTCTTTTTTTCTAATCATTATATCATGCAATTAACTGATTATTAGTTCATAAATTCTTAAAATTTACACCTGCCCTATTCATACTTGATGATTGTACTTCTACAATCACATGATTATATCGATTCTCATGAAAAGATATTTTTTATGACTTCACTTTAAGTGATTTGAAGCGGAAATTATTTCATGACTCTATGCCCAACAAACGTAATTACAGATCAAGTAAAAAAAATCTAAACTGTGTCGAAATGTTGCCTTAATCTCAAAATGTCTGCAATGTAGACTTCAAGTTTATTATTAATGTATGATGTTGTGAGATAGAAATCTTTAATTATTCGTAAATGGCAAGTACGTCAGAATGAACTTGTTTTCATTTCTGGTTGATGTAGTAATTGAAAGACAAACATATAAGCTGCGTGAATCGTTAATTGATGACAAGAGAATAAACATTCGTTAACTGTGAAATAAGAGAAGTTTCAAGAACTTCGAATAAAACATTCAAATATCATGTCTGAAATGTTCGCATACTTTATCGCTTTGCACTCCGCAATATAATTTCTCATCTGTTTGCAACTATGTTGATGTATTTATGGTGCAGAAAACTTGATAAGATTATCTCACATTCATACACTCATGTTTATGCTTTATGCATATTCGTTGAATAACATTCTTCACTCTTGCTTCATCAGAAGAGAAAGAAAAAAACAATCGGCAAGATAATTCGAAGCATGCTGAGAGTTTTATTATGACTTGCAGATAATTATTTTTTTCCTTTAATTTAAAAATACCTTTTTATAAAATAAAAGAGAGAAGCTTAGATAAACTAGCGATCAAAGATAATTATGAAAGTGACTGCAAAGGATTTCTACCGCTTAACATGCAATCTGCTTTATGACACCGCAACATAAAAAGAAGAATCGTTGCAAACAATTTTACTTTTCTTTTTAAACTCGGTAAACAACTCAAGTTACTTGAAATAATTTTTGTCTTCTCATCTATGAAGATTTAAAAATTATGCAATGGAATTATGCTGTAATATTAAAATCTTTCGTAGCATTTCTAAAGAAAAAATATTTAATTAATTCTAAAATCTGTTTCTTCTCATTATTTCCATTTTTGATCTTAAAATCTCTTCATTATTGTGTTTAATCGACAACACTGAGAGTATCATGTTCCACCTGATTTTAATCCTTTTCTCCTTCTGTTTTAGTGGAATTTCTCATGCAAGAGAACACCACGTGTCTATAAATAACTTCAAGTAACTTGGAACGCACGCTACAACATTAATTAAATAAATTGCGGTTTATCAATTTGTAATGTGATAGCTATAAAGACTAACCATCAGCAGTTCTCATGTCTAAGTTACACGTGTAAAAGTCTTCTACGTTATTTATTCAGCTATAAGAATGTTGCCAAATGATGTTATGAAACTCTTGGTAATAACCTTATCATTGACGATTGGTTATGGAAGAAACTTTGAATATCGACTCATTCAATCGAATAATATTCAACGACAAGAGCTTTTACAACAAAAATGTGATAAATACGACTTAGGGAACAATGAGCTTTATCAGAATGTCTCCATTCACACGCTAAGCGATCCGGATCTAGAGCATTTGTTGATTGATAGGAAGCACAAGTTTCTCTATTGTTATGTGCCAAAGGTGAGTCTGAATGTGGAATATTTATTGATAACGGAAGTTTTTCTCCCAACAACAATCTTACACTCTTCTTTTATAAGGTCTAAGACTGATGGTCGATAAGATAATCTCTGATAGAATTGAAAATGTCAGGTGAAAATATTTTCTTTCTATGTATGCCACGAGTTTATTCTTACTCTATCAAATTCAAGCATTACCCGATAAATTGTTGTGTGCTTATTACTTTGACACGTTTCACTATCGAATTATCTACTCTTGCCCTTAATTCCCAATAATCTGACCACTCGAATCATAATTCAAACAAATGGTTTCATATTTTCCAATATGTTCCTCTTTTCATTTGCACTCTTCTCGCTATCGATCCACTTACGTTGTCATGTGGCTTAATTGAAAGGTCGCATGCACAAACTGGAAACGTGTATTGATGATAATGACGGGAAAAACAAACGAAACTGATCCATTGAAGATTCCAGCAACATTAGCACACTCACCAGGAATGTAAGTAAATCTTCTTCTTAAATTGTACCCAAATCTACAAATATCAGATTTGAATGTATTTTGCACTTTAATCCATTTGAAAGAGAAGACATGTCAGAGAAGCTCACAAAGTATTACAAGGATGAGAATTTATTTTTACTTTTTTTCCATTTTCATATCAAACAATAAAACCAACTCTACGGAACTGAACGCACATTGAATGGGATAAAAAGGTTTGATAAATTGAGTTCATTATCAAGCAAAGAGAAGGAAAATGTTCTATCAGATTATACGAGATTTATTATCGTGCGAAATCCGTTTGAGAGACTACTATCAGCTTATCGAAACAAGTTTGAAGGGAACTTGGAGAGTGCCAGATATTTTCAGGTAAAAGGAATGATGTGTTTATTTGCCACCATTTCAATGTTGACGGTATCCGATGCTTACATCATTTGTTCTTTTTGTTTTACTTGTATGAAAAAATCTTTACTGTTCTTTTCATTCTCACACCGCAAAAATGAATAGAATGAAGCATAACTTGGTTCGTTAGTATTCTATCCATTTCCAGTAATCCTTCGTTCATTAATTTATTGCTTCACTCCATAAACATAAATATATTCTTGATCCATAGATCGAGTAAACCGAGAATTATCATGCACATCAAAAATAGATATGCCTGCAGTAGAATAACATCGAATACTTTAATTATTAAAATCCTTCTATTTCATGCACTATTTTGTTTAAAAATTTAGTTTTCATGCAACATGCTTCTTAATTGCAGTAGTCTCCTTTTGAAATCGCTTTCTTGTCTTATAAATTGTTAAAGTTTAATAAACAACTCAGCAATTTGCTGTTTTCAATTTCTATTTAATTATTTATCTCAAGCATGTTGAGGTTTTCTTATTTATTCTAAAATTAACTGCAAGAAAACGTTTAGATTAATAAAGCGCTATCATCAAACATAAAACATCTTAGCTTATGTTGATTTTGTTCTCAACTTTAAGTTATGTTTTGGTGGTGAAGATATCACATTGCCTTGTTTAACTTTATCTATGATTCACGTTCTTTCGCTATAAATTTCTTGAAGTTCTTTTCTTTCCTTTATTTTGATAATTATTTTTTGTTTTTCTCTTTTTCCTTTTTTATCGTTGTCACATTTCATTTTGTCTTTTTCTTTCTTCCTTCTCTTGTCATCAACATCACGAAAATTTAATTAAACAACACGCTTATCGGAAGCAGACACGTATTGGACGATTGATTATCAAGAGTTTCCGGCCACATGCATCGAGAGATTCCCTAATGAATGGTCACGATGTCACATTTGATGAGTTCGTTCGATATTTATTAACGCCTGAATTGAGTATGAATTATCAATCTAATCAATCATCATTTAATGAGCACTGGGAGCCGATATCAAAACTTTGTCATCCGTGCTTAATTAGGTATAATGTGATTGGCAAATATGAGACACTCAACGACGACTCAGCACTCGCATTACATATGATTGGCAGTGACAATGTAACATTCCCAAAGGTCACTCGAACGTCCGGCACCGGTGAAAAGTTGCAACATTACCTTGATCAATTGCCATTAGGATTAATTAGGAATTTATATAAATTATATGAGCGAGATTTCAAGCTTTTCGATTATAGTCTTGACGACATTTTAGGATTTGAGTTGGGATGACGAAAGCAGATATTTAGTTAAGACAATTCACTAATTAAGTTAATGCTCAAAGCTTTTTCTAAAGTTAAGAAGCTCAAACATAAGTGTTAAAGCTTTTGTTACTTAAGTATTAGCAACAACTGGGCCTGCAGTTGAAATAAGAGAATCTGCCTCAAAAAAAGAAAATTAAATTACCACAAAAATCTGGGAAAAGCTTCTAATCTAATCTCTCTTAACTTATGAACATATATCTCTCTCTCTTTCATTAAAAATGAAATTTCTTTACTGACAAAAGCATAAACACGCTTTCAAGGTACACCTCCATCAAACTCATAGACTTCAACATAAATTTTTAATTATGATGCTCAAAATAATGCTCATATATATAAACATAAAGTTGAAGAACATGGATATGTATGTTACGTGAAAAAATATTCTACCCCAAAGTTATTACAAAGAGGCAAAGGAACAGGTGTACATATATTGATTAATTAATGTTTATGTGTAACGGAAAAAAATAAAAGTAAACTGAGTAATGTATCTCATATTGCTTAGAGCACTAATTATAGAATGGTTGGATAACATAGGCAAAACCATAGATTGGATGATAACAATAACATTAAACAAAAATAGATAACGATATATCTCTCTTGTTTCAATGTTCTTAATTTTTTGTGTTCTCGATTTTTGTTTTTTGAGGACATGAGGAAAACGTTCGAGGCATTGTCACATAGTAGATGAATAAAATTTATGCATGTAGAGAAAATCTGTATTAATTTAATAATAATCACTGTGATGTTTAATTACTAATTACTTTAGAGATATAATTTTTGGTTAATTTACCTTAATTACTGCTTACAAAAATGTTATGCAATAATTTTGGGATATCTCAACCAACATACTTAAATAACATCATTTTTGTTTGTGAATTTCACGATAATAATAATAATTTATATTACCGATTTAACAAATAAAATTATTTCTTTCTTGTGAAGAACGAAGCAACGCGTGTTTTATTTGTGGTGCGTAAGTATCTTAAAAGCTTCGCATTCAAGCGCTTTAAGCGTTTTCTGTTCCAACATACCTAATTTCGCAATTAAATAATCTTTGATAATTTGACTGTGTTTGGAAATATAATTGCAAACTCACCAAGCTTGAGTTTAGTCGAAGTAACCAGGCTAAAAGAATGAGAATGGAAAAAAATCTCAATAAACATTTGTTTTTCGAATCAACGAATCGAATGAATGTGTTTATCACATTAAGCGCTCTTTCACGCCAAAATTACTTTTTCGTAATTAACGGTGAAAATTTATTTCTCGAATCGACTCGAAGTGTAATTTATCAAGCGCAATTGATGAGCCGGGAGCGATTTTTAGAGAATTATTGTTGTTTCAACAATCACCTTTTTTCTCGATAGTCCCACAAATCCCCGACACCGAAAATGTTTTTTCAACGAAAAAGCTTAAATTACCTGCGATTATTTTCCAATCAATGGTTTGCTCTAGCACCTAGTTTCAAGTGAAAAAAACATAATTCACTCGTAAGTCGAGAGGGAGAGAAAGATTGACTCAATCTTCTTATTTTCGATTATTTGTTTAGAATTGTGTACATCATGATTCAAATCATGAAATAAAAAAAGTTTAAATTACATTTCTGCTCGAACATCAAAGTCAGATAGAAAGAAAATGTACAAAGAACTTCAATTTGTTAATACCTGGTATCGAAGAATGGACCGACAAAATAAGACGAACTCATTATTAGGTTTCAAGTACCTTTGCGATTCGAGTTTTGTTATAAACATAGAATTGAGTTTTAATTACACCTGAGAGAAAACCCCAGTTGATTGATTGAACTTGCTGGAGGCCGCGATATTTATTGGTAAATAAATGTAATTTTCTCGTTCACTCAATTGATCGGAATTATTTGTTAATTTTCATAGCAGCGTCACTTTCAAACACGACTGAGTTTCCGTAGAAAATCCATTGATATTTTTTTTCACATTGAAATAGAATTTGATGAAAAGCAAGTTTCGATGATTTGTGATTTCATTTCCGTTTGAAAGCATGATGTTGACTGTGGATTTCGACCCGTCAACAAATTTGAATAACACACAAATATGCTGTTCTTGAAGGTTCCCACAACATTTTATAGAATGATACTTTAGAATTTTTTGAAATTTAATTTCAACTCGAACTCCTTCTTTATGCCACCCACACAGAAGAATCAACAAGCTTCAACGATTCCAAACTTTTCCTACACGAGTTTTGTGGATTTTGTACTTTTCCCAACTTAATTTAACTTCATATGAAGCCTTCACTCTCCACAATTTCAAATCTATGTGGGTTGAACTCGGAAGCTTCTCCATTTTTTTCAACCTCTCGTCAGATGATTCATCACTTCCACATCTCTTTTTATTCTCAATTGAGATCAAGGAAAGAACATCCGAGATGGTATGCAAAATCAAATAAGTGGAAACTTTTTGTTTGTCAGAATGGGAAAAAATGAACTGCACATGAACATGCAAAAGACTGCTTACTTCTGTTTCCTTTTGACTACATCCAATTATTTTTTATAAAGTTCTTGTGGCCAGGATAAGATCTTACCTTATGCACTTTGTAGCTTTTTCTGATTTTTTATTTCATATTTTATATTTCATATTTGAACGGGACTTTTTCACTGATCCATTTATGTTGACGTCAAAAGAGACTTAAATAAAATATGATTTAAATTTCTCCATTTTTGTATCGAAGTCCTTGTTGATTCTTTCTCTCTTTCCTTCAGAATCATATTTCATCAGAATTTTTATGCAATTCATTTTTCCCGTAAACGGTGCTACAACGTTTTTACAAGTCATCGAGTCGATTTTCAATCATTCATTTTTTTCCTTGTTCATTCTTTCGATGGTTCTGGAAAGTTTTTCTTTTTTTTTATTTTAATGATCATTAGCACAAGAAAAATGTTATAGAGATTGAAACCACAGTGGATGATGTTTCTCCCTACAGGATTTTTTCATGAAGAATAAAAACATGTTTTGAATTTTTTAGAATCAATTCCGAGAAGGAAAATGTTCGCTGTAGCAAGTGAAAGCAACGTTCCTTAATTCAAGTTGCTAGAATTAAAGTGACTGAAGCTTCAACTTTAGCACAAATTCAAATTTCTTGAGAACAGTAACTCACGTACAAGAATTTCCGAAGGAATTCACCCAGTGATGTTCATATATCTACATCAGCATGATTTTGCTCGTTTATTTCGTTCTCCCTCTTTTTTTTCTGTTTTGAGAAATCTAAACTACAATGTATGGTTGCTTTGGGGACGTTTCTTGTATATAAATATGAAAAGAAGAAGCATAAGAGAGGAAACAGAGATGATAACACATGTTGGTAAATATTTTCAGACACATGATAACAGCGTGCCATTATGTGTCATATGAGCTAACATTCGGCAAAAGAAAATTCAGCTTTTTTTCTCGCGAAAATATTGTTAAACCGATATGGAATACTGAAGGAGCATGAACGGAAATTATTCATCATTTGGGGCCAATATCTATACACATTTTCAAGCTTTCTCATACAATGGCAGGGCGCTATGGAATTGCATCGTTAAATAACAAAAAAAAAATCATCGATGTTATCATAGTCATTATGCTGCTATCTCTGCGAACACAAACTGTTTGTAAAATATGCTGAAGCTTTCACAATTTGGAGAGAAAAAAAATTGTCAATGAAACGTCGCGTTTGAAAAGATAAACACAAAGAGAATTGAAAAATTATTTTACCAAAAGGTATGCTGCCAAATATTGATTTCATCAAAAAGTTGTGTACAAAAATATAAGCGCGCTCGTGTATAAAGAAGCATCACAATAACATCATCAGATTTGTTAAACATGAAGCGTATTCTTCGCACTTTATTTGTTTATGTTGAATTGCTCAATTGGCAGTCTGTTGCGATTTATGGCTCGAGATTATCCACTACCCAATTTTAATAACATTGGACGCTTATCAGCGCTTTATAGTAGAAACATCGGTAATTTAAATAAAGCGATTGAAATGAAAGCCGAAACATAAATTATTTTTGTTAAAATTGTATGCAACAACGAAATATTTGTTGAGACGAAAAGTTCAAACAAAAATTGTGTTCTCTTGAGAAACATTTCGCTTGAACACTTTTACTGTTTCTATATGTACGTGGTATGCTGAAAAGTAAGTGCATTAAAGAAAATTATTTTTCATTTGAGATCCCTTAATGAATAACTTGTGCTTGGCTGTCAGTGCTTGAATGAACCTTTGAAACAACAAAGTCCTAACAAAATTAAACTCAAACAAAACATAATCAATGTTGTGCTGCTGGTAATTTTTAATGTGCCAACGAGATATTCTCATCCTGAGTCTTTTCACATTGCGCACTCGTTAATGTTTTTACAGGAATCAGCGAACAAAAAAATATATTTTGTTAATGAAAAAAGTTTTTTTTCTCTTCTTTTTTTTTCACTCTCGACATGGAAGATTTGTGTGTTGAATAAAAATTTATAAACGCTTTTAAAACAATAATAATAATTTCATCTGATAAATTTTCATTACGAGTTCATTGCGTAAAAATAAATTTGGCGAAAAAAAGTTTTCCTCTTTTGTTTTCTGCTCAGTGGCATTGAGATATTGCGATATCATAATCCACCATATATTTAACATTGCTTCCGAAAGTTTTAAGTTCTTTTTTCTCATTTAACTGTCGTAGCTAGAATCATAATCTTCGAAATTTACTTCCGTCTTACAACGAACTCCTAATGAAACTACAGGGATAACACTTTTCAAACTATTTACTTACCGAGAAGAGAAAAGAAATTAAAAGCGCTGATAAAAGCCTTTTCAAGCCTTCATCCTCAAGCTTATTCTCTTACAGAGTACAAAAGTTTATTAAACTCTCTTTGCTCTGTTGACTTAAGCAACTGTATCTAACCAGTGGAATGAATAAAGTTGGATAAAAGGGTAGCGAGTCGAATATATGAAAATGAAAATTTTCGCATTGTTCGTTCTTATCAAGAGCTACAGATGAGAATTACTGTGTGCTTAACTAACCACCAGTGTGTCGGAAAAAAAATGGAAATTATGAGAAGGAAAAAAAGACAGACAAACCGAAGCGCAAGAATAATAATATCTGTTGCTGCAAAGAACATCGAATTAATTCCTTTGGGTAGAAAAATGGAATAACTTGTGTGTGGCGCATGAAACTATCTCACAGCAATTTATTTTCACCCTACGAAAAATCATCAAATCTCCCTTAAAGAATGCCTCTTAGTTCATCAAACCGAAAATGGCAGAAAAGAAGTAACAAGAAAATAGCATAAATGCTGTTTAAGCGGATTAACCTTCTTAATTAAAACTAAATAGAAGGAGAATGAGAAAGGTTGGGAAATGAATATTTCTGCAAGAATGATAATATGAAAGCAAAAAGTTATTCCAATTTACAAAACCGCCCCTTCTGTCTAACTGTAGATGACTTTACGAGCTGTGAGATGGAAAATCTGTTCTCTACCTAGTTTCTCATACGGAGATATGTATCAGCTATCATTGGAACGTGCAATTCGATGCCGATTCTACTTCTCAATCTTTCCCTTCTCATTATTTCCCATTGTCGCTTCGACGTAAGCCTCATTTATTAGAGGAAATCACTAGTGAATAAATTTTATTATTGGAATTTTTCTGCTCATTTTATTTGTCGTTCTTTTATGAACGAAATAATGACATGGGGGAGTAAGTTGTATGGAAGAAAAGTGAAAGGTGTGAAGGGAAAATATATTTTAAGTAAGTCAGAGTTGTTTGAAAAAAAAAACAGTTTTTCATTGAAAAATAGCCAAAAGCTCATAGCTAAAATCTTCTGTCACAACATTGTCATAAAACTCACCAAATCTCACATCCTATTAATCTACGAACGGTTCTATCCAACATGAAAGCTGTCATACAAAAACAATTCATTTCTGTTACCAAAATAGAATGATAAAACTTGGCAAAACAACAGGCATGAGACATGGAGCACCAAAGCGCAAAAGGAAAACAACAGAAAGCCTTTTAATAATTCGATTGTGCACGTCATCTATCAATGTTCAATTGAATCAATAAATTTTGGGAAAACGTTAAATTTGGCACAGCAAGCCTTTTTCCCTTTCTCATCTTTCTATTTGCGTCCAGTTATTTCATTCTAAAACTCATAAATGTTATAAATGTTTGTTTATCTATATATTTAGATGAAGATTAAAGCTACTGAGAAAAGCGGTTATTCGATAGGGAGAAATTCAGCAATTAAATTATTTCGATTGGCCACCACAATTAAAACAATATCTGGAAATATTTGCATGTGACGATAATCCATAAACTTTGTTATCATCATGAACAATAATTTCAATGAATAAAACTTTGTATTATCAAAGACAACAAAAAGATTTATTTTCGCATGCAAAATCGCTCTTTAAAGGGTAAATGGAAGGTGAAAATTATGCTATCGATTTATTTAGTTCATTTAACATTAAAAGCATTTGATCCTTTGTCAGAAGCTCTTATCAACGAGACTTTGAACACCTTGTTTTTTTAAATAAGTCAATGAACTAATGATGTTGTGTCAATAAGAATTATTCCACTCGAGATTAAATGGAAAATTGACACCTTTCACTAGCCGCTATCATGCAGTCAATATGCTTTTAAAAGTCCAAACAATGGCAAAGAATAATTGACACTTTTTATGTTGATGGCAAAATAATCACATCGAGTTAAATTGAAAGTAAAAGAATCTGTTTTGAATGGTTAGAAAGATAAAATGCAGCAATATTGATTCTACTCAGACATCGATCGATATAAAGAAAAGCAAGATAAAAATTTTCTATGGGCAAGTGACATCAAATCAGCCGGACATAACATAGCCACTAGAACAGCCACTAGTTCAGTGACCCGATGATTCAACCTCGAATCATCCGCTCCAATAACAGAATAATGATTGCATGTCCTGGCATGTGTCAATGTCCAAGGATAGAAAATCCCGCATTGGAATTGAATTTTTGCTCGCATTTTTCCCTCTCATCTCTTAATGTCACTTTTCGTTCCCGCTTTGCCGCCAATCAATGCAGGAGAAAAAAAAGTACTAAGTCTAAACGATATGGAAGCTTATGTTGAGTTTCTCTTCCGTATAATTTCCGCAATTGAACGAATTCGAATTGGTACAAAGTGGTTGTATTTGAAATGTTTCCTTTCTTTCTCTTTTTTCCGTCAATCAATTTCTCCGATTGCGATGAGCTTAATTATCTGTCATTTTTCCAATCTGCGGGTGGGAGGCCACTTTCGTCTTTATTCATTCATTGTTCATTATGTGATTTTACTGTTGAACGTAAACAATTTTCGTAGTTTCTTTAGGTCTTTCGAGAATAACAGCGACAAATGAAAAAGCTAACAAAATAACTCGTCTGACACAAATCAGTCATAAATGTTGATAATCGATGGCAATCACTTACATTTGACCACCACTCGTCGTAACCTTAATTTTATAATTGGATTTTGATTGATATTTTTCCTTCTTTTAACATTTCTCATGACGGCAATCAGTTTATGTTTACGATTCTGTTGGGGGATATTAGAAATCTCATCTCGGGAAAGGATTGCGAAAAAGCTTTTAAAAATATATAATCGCATGTCATCATTTAATCCACCATGTAATAAAAATGTCATTTCAAATGATTTTTTTTTATTCATTGCCATCTGAGCAGTTACATAAAAAGACAAATAGAAATGTCTCCATTTAATAAATTTATAAGCTTTATGGCTTTAATTAGAAGGTGGAAGAATCGAAACTTTAAATTATTTAATATTATTGGAGTAGAAAATAAAGTTATTTAATGATGTTCTGAACTTTATTCACTGTTTGTAATAGTTTAACAGTTTACATGATTTGTTGACCAATTGATTACAATTGAAACTGACAAATGTCACATGAGTCGTGATAGATAAATTTGCTTTCGAAAATCTCATTCAAACTCGACTGTCACCGCAAATAAAAAGCGTAAATAATTTATGAGAAAAAAAAACCAATTAGAATACTTGAACAGGAATAATGTACAATTTTTTGTTCGATACTTAGAAGTTTGAACAAAGTTTGAAAGGCTTCGGCATTCAATGTAAAATCAAGTCGCCCTTTAATAAATTTAATATCGATTTTTGTTTACCGCTCATTCCCCTTTAAGTATTCTTTAAACCTGTTTGAACATACTTTAATTCAATAAACCTTTGTTCATGCTTGCATGATAATCGAAGACGAGCAAATTAACAAACAGGGAAATACACAAAAAACTGTTAGAAATTTGATCGCGCTTCAGAACAACATTTTATGATTAACTTTTTCGTTTCTTGCTTTCTCAATCAACTTCACTCATTGTTTCTTCTATCTTTCGTGCCATTATTTCACATTTATATTAAAATGACACGGGAAAATGTCATAGTCAGAGAGAATAACAAGAAAAATGACATGGATAATATCCTATCGAACTTGTAATAATATAAAAGTAGAAAGAGAAGTTCGGCGTCGAGCACGAATATGAATTATTTATTATTATGCAAAACGTGGAAAATACGCTACTTTCTTCGTTCCACCTACACTTCTCTTTTTTTTTCCTGTCAACCTGGTTTGACATCAAAAAATATGTTGTGATAGGAAAGAAGGAATATAAAAATAAAAATGCGACAAAGTGGAGAGTCACCTGAAGAAAGTTGACAGAGAGGAGCAAAGCTGTTGCGAAATTAAAATAGATAATTAAATTTATTAGAAATTCTCCTACGTCAAATTTACATCGTTGGTTGTTGGGCGTAAGAAGATGAAGAGAAGACGAGAAACCCAATTTCCGATGGATAAAATTGAATTATGATGATGCTATGACAAGAACCCATCACAGCCAATATCGTTGAAGTCAATTAAATTCTATTCATAATTCAAATATTTTCATTAGCTTCCAGCTAGATGCTTCCCCATATTTACCAAGCACGTGAAGCTTACTTCCGCAATATATGAGTGCTTGGGAATAAACATCATGAGAATCACGTTAAATATAGTTGTAAAAATTAATTTTTAATCACTTATAAGTATGTCTATCCTGTGCTGATTATCGATTTATTAAAAACTTTTCCTCCTTCCCTAAGTAATGGAAAAAAGTTTGAGTTTGAGTTCATTTTTACAAGCAGTCATCGCTATTACAAATATTACTAAATTAAAAAGAAGGAAGTTATTACACTTTAATGTAAATCTATCGATTGAATACAAATATTGCTTGTACTTTGTTAGCAAACTTCATAAATCCCACTCAAGTTTTAAGGCGTGGGTATTGAAGCCTGCAAAGCATTTCAAGCTTTGTTTATTATTGATGAAAGTTACAACAAGTGGATTCTTGTGAGTTTACCACTATCAGCTTTATGTTTAAAGAAAAGTCGATTTAGCTAAAACCTCGGCTAAAACCATGCCCTTGCATCAGACAAAATCAAAGGAAAATTTTCAAGCAAGTCACAGGGAGAGTAAAATAAATGGAAAATGAAAATATTTACTTCTCTTATATCCTGTTCGTTTTTCTCGTAAACCAAATAAAATGTTTATTGCACTTCAACAACAAAAGGTGAAAAGAAAAATAATTTTCCTATTTCTAAAAGAGAAAAAAGAATCAAATTCCATTATACAACATTCGCACTGTGGCAACTTATCCCGTTCAACATAAGAAGCGAGATTCGAATATATTTTTAGAAACGAAATAAAAGAAATGATTCGAACAAAAAAACTATGAGAATGAAATATTCAAAGATTCAAGAAAAACATTTCGTGGATATTAAGGAAGGGAAAGAAAGAACGAAGACATTTGGTTTGGTTTTATTGATTTTAGGAAATTTTCGCTGAAATTCACAAACTTTACCTTCAAGAATGTCCGACATAGTCTCAACTGTAAGGGGAGAATAACTTCTGCTCCAGAAATTTATTGGAAAAGATTTTTATGTTTAGTTGTGGGTTCGTCCTCTGTTGAAGTTTCTGACCATTTTCCCTCTCGAGCTAAAACAAACAAAAAAACTTTAACATAAATTTCTGTAGATGCAGAGAATGATATCAGTGAGCAGAAAAGAAAGAAAAGAACCGGAAGACAACAAATTTCAGCAAGTCAAAATTTTCCATGAAAAAACTTCCATAGCTGAACCTTAACCAATCCATGGCAATATTTTAAAATTGCTTCATGCATAAAACAAGTATACACGAAATTTCATCTTTCTTTCTATTCTATTTTTGCATTTTTTTGCTTTGTTCATTTTTGCATAAATTTTCAAATGATGCTGAAGTTAAGCAACAAATAAGTCATGAAGGAAAATAAAAGCAATCTGAGAAGCTTTAACGGCTCGCCTCACTTTTATATAAGTATCTAGGCGGTAATAAAAATTGGTTTAAAAAACCTTTAAAAGTCTTTTTATCTTTAATGCATTATCTACTAGTCTATTAAAAGAGAAATTGATCTCGGTGATCCTTTGTGCCTTTGAACTCTTTAGAATTAAACTTTATGTATTACATAGAAGTGTTTTTATATAAAAACAACTCAACTACTCAAGAATCGTTACAGACACGAAAGGAAAACTAAACGACGAGTTTAAAATTGTGTTGCTTGAAGAAAATCGATAAACAATTTCCCGCTTTTAAAGAAAATTTTTGAAACGACATGAAGCTGATGATTTCTTATAATTTTACTTTTGTAGCGAGAAAAAGGAAAATTGATTTTTCAAATTAAGTTTCCAAATGAGAAGAATGAGTAGCAAAAGTAGGTGAAGTTGTTAAAGCATTAACAATCGTTTGTGAAGTAAGAAATACTTTATGATAAAATTGCCAAAAATAATATGAAAATGAAGGAAAAGTTCCATCATTATGTCATGTTAGCTCTCAATTATTTCTCGCACGCAAATGTCTTGAAGCACAAAGTTTCAAATATCTCTTGAGACTTTTTAATACGCTTTGTCATTCTTTCACCGCCCTTTAAACGCTTTTTACCGAATTCCATTTCATCTCCAATGAAAATATGCGTTGAGAGATTTATTTACTCAAGTATTCAAACAACAGAAAAAAAACGTCCCGACAACTCGCAGCAGAAGAAGAAAAAAGAATTAAGAGCTACGGAAAAAGAAGGAAAAGTTCAACAAGCGAAATATCATTTCCCGTGACTTGACACTTTCAAGGAGTTTCGTTTTCCTTTTGATTCTTTAAAATATATAATTAAGAAAATTAAGGAAAGAAGGTGGGAGAATAATGAATGAGGGTTTGGTGTGGGTGACTTTCTTGTGAAAATAGAAATCTCTGTCTCATTTTCAGTCTCTCTTCAACTTCTTCTTTTTTTTCAAACGAAAAACTTTTCTGTTTGTTCCAGTATAACAAACGCTTCACTTGAGTGAAAAGACGAAGAAAATTTAAAATTCTTGAGAGGTAATTTGAACGAGATTTTTTACGAGTGAAAAAGATATTTTCGTTTTAATAGAAACAGATAACGAGACTAAAAAACATTGAAGTCATTATCATCGTTTAAAGTTTTACATTAGAAAAGATTGAATTGTCCACGAAACTAGGAAAAGATAAATTGAAATTAATTCAATTTTGTATACAAATTCATTTGATGTTGATGCACTAACGCTTTGTGGTTTCACACACAATTTCATTAACTAAATATCGTTTTCACCGCATCTCCCTTTAAGTCGCTTTAATTAGGTTTATTCAACTCTCTCTGTTGTTTCTTTCCACTTGATGTTTTGATGAGAATTTCCGTTCTGTGTTTGATGGTGTTGTGAACTTAAACATATTTTGACATCATAAATATGTATCATGCATGTTGTTCTATTCGATTGAATTGCATTTTGAATAAACTGAATAAATTGATGATCAAACACAAATAAACTCGTTTTATATTTTTTATCAAATATTTATTGAGGAATTAACACAACAGATACTCAATTTTCAATCATCTATGAGTGTATCGAATAAAAAAAAAGTGAGAACTTTATTTAAACGCAATCAGATCTCGATTGATAATTAAGAACATATTTTACATACATCACTTTTTTTTTATTGAGCGAGAAATCATTGGAATCAGTGTAATTGAATTGAAGTCAATATAAATTTTTTTATCAATGACACAATGTGGGTGTGAAAATCGACACCGATGCAGAGAAGGGAAATGAAAGTTCAATTAAATCATCAAACAGCATGTGGGGATGATGAGCACAGTCGGAGTGCCAAATGAAAAAAAAACATCGAGCAAATTTTGGCATATCAGTAATAAAAACTTATGCAACAGATGCATTGAAAATTATATCCCGCATCTTTGAGTGTGTGATAACTAAGAGGAATTCTGACTGTAAAGTCATATCTAATATAAAAATAACTTTCTTTTCTCTTTCTGAATGCAGTGATGATGTGATTTATGCCGCCATTTAGTGACTTGCACATACATATCACATACATGAAACGTCATCTGGTCGCAATTTTCCATCGGAAGGAACGTGCGGCTCATGTTGGAGGGAAGAAAATGAAAAAATAATTTCCTGCTTCGCTTCACAAGATTTTTTTATATTCAATTTCATCTTATATAGATTTTCGTTTTTGCTTTTCTGCCTTGGGCTCGTTTTTGTAAAAATCTCAAAAAAAATGGTCACAAGAAAAACGTTAACAGTGGAGAAGAAAAATTGAAAACAATTTGACATCACAACGAAGCCTTTTCACTGCTTGCATTTTGTGGACGAATAAAAAGGAACAAATAAGAAGTTAACCCTTATACGCAATTTGGTAAATATGAAAGAATAATTGGAAAAACAATGAACCTGAAAGAAAAGCTGGTTGGGAAATAAAAGAAAAGAAGAAGAAAAAAAGAAACTCTGAGATTAATTAATAAATCATAAGATATTTCCCTGCTGTATTTTTTCCATCCTTTTTTTCCTTAATTTGTGACCTGGACAGGGTTGATGATGCTGTTGCTTTAAAGAATCCTTTTATGAAATTAAAAATCATTTGGTTTCACGTTGCAGGGATAAATGCTGCTATCCTGGGGATATTTCATTGTCTCATTGTTTTTCATCAACAATTGGTTAAGAATGGCTTCCAGCAATAGGAAAAAAGTTCGGTCAAGAAAAGAGTTATTTATGAGGATTCCCTAAGAATTTCGCCAAGAAAGCTTTCATTTTTTTATCCTTTCATCGTAATAAATTCCAAAGATTTTTCTCTTTTTGTTTTTCGACAGTAATAAATGGATTTTAATGGGAAATGGAATGAAGATTCAATAAAAAAAATTTTTACTTGACTGCAAGAAATTCTTTCTTCTTTCTTTGAAAAAATAAAATCACTTTAACTTTTTGATATTTTCAAGGGTTCACAAATTGGCAATTTCCCTGAAAAAAAGCATTTTTTAGATAATCTATTTTCACTTTCGCTTCATGCACAATCAGGAGCATTTGTCAGTGAAGCAATCATCTGGTGGAGTTTGAATTTTTTTTTGTTTAATCTCAAATACACTTTTTGGCACTAGAAGAAGCGATATCTTCCACACCAAAAGGATATCTGAAACAGAAATTGAAAATTTAATGTAAAATCCACGTTTAGAAAATAAGATGGTGAAACGAAGATGAAAATCAATTTTTCCTTCTCGTTTGTAAATATTTTGAAATTCTGTGATTAAAATCTTGCACTTCAACGAGAAAAATTTTATCGTTTCAGCATCAGAAAAAAAGAGAGAAGAAATGTATTGAATTGTCATCACAAACTCATCTGATTCAATCACTCTCATACGTGAAGAATGTTTCTAAGTAATTTTTTCAAAATTAATCGATAGCGTGAGACAAATCCCTTTTCAACTGAAACGTTCATTGAAATATGAAACTTTTTGCTATAAAAGTGAATAAGAAATAATGACTTTTTTAATTTCTTTTTTATTTCGAATTGAATCTCTTCCTGTATACGAAGTTATTTTTTTATATTCCGATTCCGTTTGAAATTTCTTTTACTTGTTTCCATGTTTTTTCACTACTCTGTCTTATTCTTTAAGTTCGAAATCCTTCCCATTTAGGGAATTGAATATATGACGGTGGCTGGATTGTGTGTGATGGGATTCCATGTTGCTCAATGCTCAGATACTCTCATCTCATTCGCATTGTGGATTTAAAGGGGAAAGAAGAAATGAAAAGAAAATTTCTCTTATTTTATGTATTCATGTTACGTAATTTCATCGTTTTTAATAACCATCTTGAAAAGATATTATTTCATTTTCTCCCGGGCAACAGTTTTGGTAAAAATAATTAATTGCATTTCCCGCAGACGCTTTATGGATGAAAGAAATCTTGAGGATTGTTTTCGGAGAAAATATTTCTTGTTATTTTTGTATAATTCAACACTTGCTATCAATTTTCGTTTCGTTAAATTTTAAGTAGATATTTATTTTCCTTATTTATTTATTAAATTTGCTTACTTATTTCCTGACTTGTCAGTCACAAGCAGACACAAATCAACTTCGAATAAAAATTCCATTGCTACAACTTCTATCAGATACTTTTTTTTCTATTTGAGGAATTTGGTTTTAAGCTTTTTCAACTAGAAGGAAAATTATAAAAATATGAACATTTTTATTCGGAATATTAATACTTTTTAATCTTTTGATCTCTTTCTTCTCATCTTGTATCAGTATTATGGAATTTCATGAATTTCATGTAATCCTAATAAACCCTTTTAGTTGGTTTGACTTTTTTATTTTGATATCAAAGGATCATGGGTAGAAAATTTATTTGGGCTTTTACAGTTGAAACTATAATTTTAATTAAATTTTTATGAGATTCGATATTGTATAAATTAAAAGTACTTCAAGTTATTTTTAGTAAATTCTCCATCTTTCGACATGATACTTGACGAATATAAATATTTATGTACATGTAAAATATTTTGCCATTCATAACAGTTTTTAATTTTGAGAAATGAATTCAAAGAGTTTTTCTTTTAACAAATAAGTTATAATTCCTTTAATGCTATTCATTCCATTTCTTTTTCATCATTTCCCATTAATTTTCTTGTGGAGATCTTAAATGAATATGCAGAATTCTTAGCTCAGCAGTTACAACTTTGCAAAATTCTTATTTAAATTTATACAATTTTGAACTTTTCAATCTTATTTCAGCTGAGAAAATGAATTTAAATTTCTTAACAATTTTTTTTTTGCATTTTCGGTATCGTTACAAAAGCAGGTGGTGTTTGATATCAATTTTCCCTTGAGCGATGAAAACTTTCTCACTTACAAGTCGTCTCTTTTGCCTCTTTATTCTTTATCTTGAAATTAATTTCTTTTTACAATAAAATTTTATTCGCCATCAAGAACGCAATGAAGTTGGAAAGTAATAAAATTGCTTTTTGCCACTCAATTTCCAGCCTAGGAGTGAAAAAAAATTCCTTTTACCCAGGAATAATGGTCAGATTATACGGTAAAGCGGAAAACGAAGAAAGAAAAAAAAAGTACAAAAAACACGCAAACCTCTTGACCTACAAAATCATAAATTTATATTTCTGCCCACTTTTTCCCTGCCATCATAGCATGAGCTGGTTGATACGAAAGCATTACACTTTTCGACTTGTCGGCTTTAGCGATAGACTAAAACATTTCGAAGCAATTTTCCAAAGTAGCAATATAAACAATGGAAAATGAAAATATTTTGTACATGGATAAGAGGAAAAACTTGAACGTGTGCTTTGTTAATGCGTGGGTGTTGAAAAAAGTAACGATAATAAAATTATGGAATTTTCACAATGACTCTCAATCAGTTTCTAATGGGAATTCACCGTCGTTATAGAATCAATTGAGCTTTAACTACGTGACTTATCGTCACTTTATCTATGCATCGATTCAACGGCATAATAAATTTTTCAATAAAAATAAGATTAACAAGTGAAATTTGCCGTTTTGCCATCTCAATACGCCTTGCAATCGATTCGTAAAGGACGAAAAAGGAGAAAGAAAAATACGACGGAAAATTTAAATATCGAAAAACCGCAAAGCTGAAACATATTCAATGGATTCGCATACAAATGGGAGCTTATCGAGACGGTGAAGAAGGGAAAATATATGGAGGCGATGAGAAGGAAAATATGCAAATATTTTAAATCCGTCCAATAGCAAAACGTCATAAAAACGAAAGAGAAATTCACCGTCGATAACTGATCCGCAGTAAGGCATTTTCCAAGATTTTCCTACTGCATGGAAATTCTCTGCAAATATTTTCTTTTGATTGTTTGCCTACGCTGAATTGTGACACATGAATAGCTCTGAGAAAATAACGAAAAAAAAAAGCATACAAACTCCTACTCTTCCCAACATAACTTATCATGACTTTATAAAATATCTGAGTTGAAAGTTCTCTATGATGTACGAAAGCTAACATCAAGGATGAAATATAAATACAATAATGAACCCTTCTCTACACTTTGTCAATGTTCACAATTCAACAATCTTTCGACGTTCGTCACTAACATTCATTTTTGAATTCAACACTGGTGTCATAGCTCATGAAGAAAAGAAAAAGAAAATCCAGTGAAACCGTGAAATTCTTCACCCATTCAACATGGAATTCAATCTTGGAAAAGTGGAGGAAAAAAAGAAGGAAAATCCGAAAATCATGATACGATGATGTGGCGCTCTATCGATATTACTTTAAACATATTTAAGTTCATTCGCTACTGTATTGAAAATGAAGGTGTCGGGAGGAAAACTTGCGGAAAATTTAAAGCCCATCAAGTGAAAAATTGCCCGACTCACTATAGGACTATAAAGTTTTCCTTCTTTTCACTTTTTCACCTTTTCTTGTACAGGAGAAAAGAAAAAGCGAGACGAAATCACAGCATCAAAACATTTTACGAGTGTAACATAACCGGAGGAGAAAGCAGAAAGTTACTTACTGTCGAACAAAAGAATTTTCACAATAAATAAAGTCCGCTTCATCGAGTTCAGGGTCGTAAAGAAAAAGATGAAAGAGTCATTGAAGTCTTTCTCTATCTTACAGATAAGAAAAATGAAATAATCGATTCAAAATATGAGGATAAAAATAACCGAAGAAAATCTTTCGTTCGTTTGCAATCATTTTAATTTCCTTTCCATGTCCATCTCAACAATGTTTTCTAAGCCAATGAGCTTAAATCTTTTTAAAGTCAACAAAAGTCGAAGGTAGACCCCAACCTGTCAACTGTGATGCAACGAAAGGTTTTTTTTCGGGTGCTTTTCATACAGATGACTTGTCCCAAGTAAAAGCTAACAAACCAGAGGCGAATTATAAAGATATTCAAGGTCAAATCCACTTTGCAAGTTTAAAAAATCATTATTGATTCCCCACAGAAATTTCATATTCGGCTTTTTAGCTTAGCTTAACAATCTCATTATTTTTCCTTGGCACTTTCCCGTCATTGACTTTGTTCTTCTTTCATCTCGTCACTCTCCAATTACATGAGAAAAATTTGGAATGCCAAGAAAGAAAAAAAAGAGGAAAAAATTTCTCATTTTTTTCTTGCTGCCTTCGAGGCAATTAAATTGGAAAAATATTGAAGAAAATTTTCTTTTGAGTAAAGAATAAAAAAATGTTTTTCTCTCATTATCGTTCAATGTTTGGTACTTTCTCTACCACCCGCACTCCATTTCATTGGCCTATCGCTCTTGTTAAAATCGTTTTTTAACTTTATTGTTGATTCCTATTTAACAGTGGTGTGGTGGTAGCAAAATTTCCACGAGAGAACTGATGTAATTTCAAAACGGGCGACCAGTTGTGACTTCAATAAACATTATTAAATATATTTATTGCTACTGAATATTTTCAAGCAGACTAGTCACCGATCGTTGTTAATTTATAAATTATCGTAAAAACAAAATTCTTTCATTGCTACAAATTAAATTATTTCTGGTATTTGCTCATTTTTCAAACCAAAACAAAAAAGAAGGAAAAAAAAACATTTTCAACAAATCGACGTTTTAAGCGAATGAATGCCCATGACAGCAAAAAAGGGTTGTTGTTTCAACATCATGAAGGCTACATGAAGGGGAGAGGGTGAGGTTAGAAAAGTAGCCCATTTTTTATACTCCAAAAAATATTCTGTGTTGCTCGCTAAACGAGAAAACCCTCAAAAAATGATTGCCGGGGCCGTTTTGTGAGAAAGTTAAAGAGAGAAATTATATATAAAAACCAACAAATGGAAAATTGTTATTTCTTGAATATTCACGAGTTGGTTTTCTTTCAGGGGGCAATAAAATATTATAGTCGCCTTTTGCCTTCAACCATTCAAAGGGGTCACAAAGAAAAGGATAAAATTGTTTCACGTTCAACAAGACGAAAGAAAAACCAAATTATGTAGATATTCGGAAAACAAACTTATTTTTACTGATAATTTTCTACCAACCTTTTTTTTCTTCCTTTGTCAAAGTTTCTCGCAGTATTTTTCACTCTTTTGTAAAATTTGTCGTTAATTTAGATAAATCACATGCAAGCAAGTAATTATTTGTTGCTTCCCGTTACACTAACTCACAATTTTTTTCCACTTTTATTTTAAATTATTTTCTGACTGCTTTTCACTTTTCCGTTTCTAATATTTTATGTCTGAAGTTTTTCTTATCAAAAAATTATTTTTCACTGCTTTCAAGTAGTTTTTTGAACTGATGAAGCGATATTTTCGATAAAGTTTCTTCATATGTTTTTATAGAGCGTGTACGATAAACTCTTTTACTTGAAAACTGCTCTCGAAAGCAACTTGGAACTGATAAAAGTGATGTAAAGAGAATTGCTTTGCTTGAATTTACTTAAGACACGATTCCAATTGAACAGGTGACGTAGGTTTGTAGCTAGCTCTCTGTTGAATGTAAAGTTGAAGTTAAAAATCCCTCGTGCTTTTCGCAAATAAATTACTTTCTTTCTTTGTCCGTTGCGGTAAAGCTTGACTTGATTTTTTGATTCAATTTACAATGAAAACCTGGCGGGAATCTTTTAGCAAACAACTAAAGTACAAAAATCAATTTGATTTAATCGTGATTAGAAAGCACGGTTTGTTTTCTTTTCTCTATCACTTTCTCTCCTTTTCTTTTCTCGTCAGTTCTTATAGAGCTTTGGGCGAGGAAGATTTTCCCTTCAGCTGAAAACAAAACAGTTTTCTTCTACTTTTCGCCTGTCGAATATTTATTTATTTTCCTTTTACCCTCTTCACGGCGAGTAAAGCAGTGAGAGTTAACAACAAAAATTTTTCTTCTTTTCACGCTTTGTACATTCGAAAGGCTCAAGCCTGTATAATTATAGCAGTCAAAGCAGACTCTTTTTTATCTCGTTTAAGTTTGTGAAAAGTGCTCTGGGTTCGAGGGCGAATGATTTTTTTTCTTGTTCTTCTTTTATTTATTTTCCCTGCGAACTTTTCTTCCTCGGTTCGTTATACTTTTCTGCTATTTTGCCTTATTTTTTTTACTGTTTCTCCGGGTATGCGAGTTTAATGTCTCGTTATGTCTACAAAGGAAAGCAGAGAAAAATTCTCGCAAACATGCTTGAAAGGTTTAAGAAAAATTTTATTCGCAAGACACACGAAGCAATTCTTTCCGGTTTTCGCTTTAAAAAATTGTTTTTCACAACACACAATTTATTATTATTCTCCTCGATTCACTTGAGTACTTGAAGTTCTGTAAAAGCAGATTGCGCACAAGAAAGGGATGCTGTGAGAAATATTCTCAACACTTTTATTTTGGTTTGATAAACTTTTGCTTTATTTTGATCCTTGAGCCACAAAAAAAAATATTTTTCTTATATCAATTTTTATTACGCGCGTATTATGTTGAATTCGTAAACATTGGAATATATGAGAAAATATTTTCCTTTCTTTTTTTCTTTTTTCACTCCCCACATCCGAACCGATGGGAAATTTATGAATTTTTATGCTTGCTGTTTTATATTTGTTTCTTTGATGATTTCAACTGCTGTTGCCACACTTTTGACGTATCAAATGCCGACTTTATTTCCTCTTACATCACATTTATTCATCGATTGATCACTTTTCCTGTTCACAAGTGAGATGAATTTGTAATTCATGTATTTATTTCCATGAAGGAACTTTTTTGCGATTCTTGATTATGCAGTTTATGGAGTTTATTCACCGCGCTTTTAAATCGATATAAAAGATCCTTAGCTTTCCACTTTCTGACGAACCATAAAGTTTAAGGTTCTTCAAAAAAAAAAGGAAAATTTATCAAGTGAATTTGTTCCTTTATTACGATTCTTGTTTCCGATAAGCGACGACAATATTTGTTTTATCTTCAGTAACCAAAAATTATTCCATAAATCTTTCACTCCTCTTGAAACATTAAACCCCGTTAAAGAAACTTCTTTGAAGAGTAAAATGTGTGAGAAGCAATATGCGACACGATATTATGTAGCCGAGAAAAATAAAATTTCCGTACGGAACGCAACACAAACACCGACCGAAATCGTCAAATGATTTTATGAAACTGAACAGAAAGAAGAGGAAACGAGAATCACGAAATATTATTTTTTCGAACTTTCACCAGTTGATTCTCGTCTTCGTTTCGTACATTCTCCTCACTTCGGATTTCATGTTGTTCTTCTATGTTCGGACGAAACAGTTGTTATCGTTCTGAAGTAATAGATGTGAAGATGCGATGAATACCTATCATGTTTTATCTTTTAAAGTATTTTCTTCTTGAGACATTATTCAAACATAATTTTCTTTACTTACGTTCTTGTAAAGCATTTCGTTTTGAAATAATTTGCGAGTGCGCAGGGTTGATTTAAGGGGAAGTAAAATCATAAAAAAGCGCCAAAATATTTCGTAGCGGCAAATAGCAGAACTAAAGTAATAAAATTTGCTATCGAAGGAAATAAGAAAGTATGCAAAAAAAAAATAAAAAGAATGTATAAAAAGCACCTGTCAACGTTTTTTTATTTTTTGATTAAAAATTCAATGCGTGGGGGGTCTTGGAGGTGGACGAAGGCTTCGAATGATTAATAAGCTAGCGTCGCAACATGAGGAAACACTATAATTATGCTCCCCTTCTCCGTTTCATAATTCTTCGCCATCTCTCATAATCATAAAGTGCACGTTGAGTCAACCCCCGTCCTTTTAAACATTTTGATGTCACCGCGCTGATAATTGTTTCGTGTTTGCAACTAATTTTTCATTCTCTTTGAGGGAGAAAAAAAGTATGAAGTGAGAGAAGAAAAAGAAATGTTAATCTTGAAGTTTTGTAAAAAAAAAGTCAAAGTAAAATGTAAAACTTTAGAGTGGTTAAATGAGGTTGAGTACTTTTTACAATGTAAATTAGATTTTGCTTTCATACCATTTCTCTTCTTCCCCATTTTAGCTTAACATGGGAAATATGATAACCTCATTAAAACGTTACGTAATTAATCTTTCAGCAGGGATGTATTAATCACATTTTACGATATTTAATGAGGGAAAAATCATATTGCAGCTAAAGTTATGTAGTTCTGGTGGGAAAAGAAAAGAAAGCATATTAACCATTGAAAATTATAACATAGAACAACAGTCGAGTGGATAAAGGTTAATTTACACGTGCCCCTATTTAAACTTCACAATAATATCCCCTAAATGAATCTACAAGTTCGCTTTCAATTTTTTTCTACCTACACTCAACAACCTTTATCCATCTAAAATATTTCGTAGCACTCAACTTCTTATTCAATTATGAATAATCTTTCTTGCATGCAATTAAAAATTATAAAGCTTTTAATGGAATAAATTAAAGTTGAGATTACTTTCGTGGAGCAATTATTAATGTAATCACAGAAATCTCTCAGAACAAAGAACTACATACAAGTTTTGAAAGCATTACATCGACATTATTTAATAATTTGTGTTAAACAAATGTAACCTTTGAAAACTTTATGCTTTCAGTTGCATAATTTACATTGAAATAATGTATGAATAGGTTAAGATATGAAAAATTAAAATGTCTCGATGACACTATACGTTTTTAACAGTTTCACACAATGTAACTTTTGACCTTTGCTTGGGGGTGTAAACATAAATATTATAAAACAATTTCGAGATCACTGGCAATAAACATTTATTCTTATAAGACTCGAGAAAGACATTTAATTAAGAATATTTTTGCATCAGTAAGAATCGAAGATGGACAAAATTTGTTTTCTCGAAACTAGTAAGAAACAAGTTTTATTAGTTGAGACATTGATTTCTTCATGGAATTCTTTAGTAAGCAAACACATTTGATATTTATTTTATATTTTATGTTATCACAGTTTAGAGATAAAATGTTATTTTTTTTAATAAAGTTGATACCTACGCTATCCTCTATTGGCTAATATTCATATGATTTAAAATTATTGTACAAATAGAACTAAAAATTTACGCTTTTAAGTAAATACAAGAAAAATAAGAAAAAACATTTATGAGAGAAAAGATTCGAGCGGGATAGTTGAACAAGTTGAAACATTTTTCTGTACTTTAACGAACTGTACTCGATGTTGCAATTTCTCGCCCTCTTGAATCGATAAAACTTTTTCACAGTCATTTGAACTTCTGATACGGTAAAAGTGCTCTTACTCGTGAGTGAAACATGTAGAAAACTACATCGGAAAATTGCTTGAAGGTTGGTGAGCTGGAGTCGACAGAACATTTTATAAACAAGTACCACGTACATATTTAATAATTTTATCGTCAAGCATGAGAAGTAAAATCGTGAACTTCTTCAAACATCTCACATATATACAGAAGTAATTAATTTAATCTTTTTCCATAGAAACTTGTCGAGATGAAGAGCATCATCAAACGATAATGACGGCCAAAGATAAATGGAACGCAATAAATAATTTTCGTCGGTTCTATTTTTAATATTTCTTTCTCATTTCACATTAGAAAAACATTTCGGGCGCAATTTAAAAATGAAAACTTTAACTTACACTTCATTTGTTTATGTTTTCATTTCATAAAAGATGTGACAGAGTTATATTGATTTCAAACTTTGCTTTCGTTTTCATCGAGAAAACTGGAATTTCCCTTTTTATTACTCATTGAATTTTTACGTTTCTTATTCTAAATTTAGCGATAATCTTGGAGATATTTGAAATTTCTATGCGAATCTTCGAACAGAAGGTTTTAGAGACTGGAAAATTATACAATTTAAATTGTTACTGATTCCGAGATATTTCTTGCTTCCAGCCACTGATTTCCACATTGAAAGTAACATAAAAAAATATTAAAAATCGCGATGCAAAATGTTCTTCGCTTTGATGGAATATTTCGCTTCTTTCCATCTGTATACGACGAAAAATTTTCATTATAAATCAGAAATATCATCCACAACATTGATTTGAAGTAGCATCATATGCTGAAAGTTTAAGATTCGTTTCTGGTTTCAAGCGTTGTTTATCACACATAGGGTCGCTGGTTCAAATTTTCAGCTTCTATGCGTTGATTTTTCCACTACATTCAGCATTTGAACGGCACATAAATAATCAAGAACAACATTTTTAGATTTGGGGAAAAATCAGAGAAGAAAAAATATTCATAACGCGTTTTACAATTATGAAGTGTTGATAATGCTTTTTGATGCTTTTTATTTCGATTTCCAATCGCGTTCACTGCTGCAACAGTCGTCGCTTCGATTCAAATACCAGAGAGCACATTAAAATTTTATTCCATGGAACAAAAATTAATTTATGATAATTGTTTTCATATGTAGATTGGAGCGAGTTCATTCAATTTCTTTTTGTGACAACGTCAGGCGTCAGTCGCTACGGGGTCATGTTCAATTATCAATTAAAAAAATGTTTTCAACTTTATTTTTTTATCATCAGTAATTATAATTATGAAAATTTCAAAAATTGATTTCATCAGCAATTGTTGGAAATTAAGATTGAAGTTTGAGCAACAAATTTTAATTAATTTAATTAATTTAAAAACATCCACCGCCGGTGGAAAATTCAGTTCACAAGCACCCATTATAGCAACCACAAGTGAAAAAAGTTGTACAGTTAATTATTATTTACCAAAATTTGTCACTCAATCTCACTAATTTGATCATCGAGACACGGTAGCGTAGTGTGGGGCTGAGGGCAATAATTAAATGTAGATGGGTCGGTGCTATAAAAGCACAACTGGAAAAACTGCTGGGCACACGATCGCCATGGGATATAATTTAGTGTGAGTGGCCGAACATTAAAGCACAACGGGGTAACTAGCAATTCAAGCAAACCATAGTTCTTTTCAAACATAAATAGAAAGCAACAACATGAAAATTTACCCACATCCGAGGGTCAGTAAAACTTTAGTTATGAATTCTATTAAATATAATATTAAGTGCAAACCAACTGAAAAATGTTTTCATGTACAAACATATTTATTTACTTAAAACTTTTAAAGTATCATGGCACGAAACATTTACTTAATACCACATTTTAAAAGCATGGAACGAACGATCATTGATTTATCACATTCACAGTTTGCAAAGTTTTTTTTTTCTGTTCTGTCTGAAATGTAACAAACATTAAACGTGTTTTAAATCTCACTAAACCCATAAAATCCTTTGCCAGCTTTCACGATTCACATCCCTCTCAAACACCTTCATAATCTCTTCATTATTTATACGCTCCCTAAAATTTAAATAATTATTTTTGATGTCATTTAAAACCATAAATTCTCTGAAACTAATTAGTTAATTATTAAATAAACAATAGGCTCATGGGTGCTTGTTATGTTTATTTTGAGTCAGTTGAGTGCGAGGGAAGATCATTTCGAATCTTCATTGTCGTATTTTTCTTTGAGAATTTTCTCGAAATGTGAGTTTAAATGATTTCATTTATTTCATTCGAAAATATGTGCTGGGAGAAGAAATAAAGTAGAATGAAGATGGCTTATGGTTAATGAAAACTGGAGGCAAAAACAATGAACCTTTGTCGACGATGAACACTTGTCAGATTTTTCTTTTATACCTTTATTAATTATTTTATAGTTTATTGTTTCTTTATTCCCTCAGCCATCGTGACATTGTTATTTGAAAGTAAAAACAGTAACGCAAAGCACAAGGGGGAAACGACAAACCTTCATGCCATATTTCGGTTGTGGTGTGGGTGGGTGGATGAATAACGAGCGAAAATGGCACAAAAATGCTGAACAAAACTCACATCCTTAAATTGTCGACTCCTTGGAAATATTTATAAAAAATATAGAGATAAACAGCAGCAACAACAACGTCAAAACAAGTTATTTGTTGTTCCGGCACTTCTTGCTACAGGGTAGGGTGACAAAAAATAAAATTCTTTCGACCGCCGCAAGAATTCTTCAAATTACCAATTTTCCAGCAATTTTTCAAAGAATGTTTTCGAGATTTATGAGAAAGATATTTGAGTGAGAATTTATCTTGAAAGCTATTCGATGTCCGTTTGTGGTTGGAAATGCTTTCGTTGTTCCACATTGAGAATGGCTTGCGATCCATTCTCAATTTATTCTCAAATTGAGTCAAACCCCCATGGCAGCTTAAATGGTAGTAAAGCATGTCTTCCTGTTTGCATTTGCCATAGCAACGCCTTAGCTTTTCCTGGTATTATGCATGTTAATTAATTTATTAAAACAACTTTCAACAAATGCGAAGTCCGAACAAGCTGCTGCTGCTACTTGCATGCTCGTTATTTTGCTTTCTTTTATTTTCACCCCCTTATGCTTATAATGTTATTATGTGATTAGAACGTTAAACTCATGCTTTTGCACGACATTCTACGTATTTATAACATTTTTTTCAAAGCTCAACCGTAGCTCCTTTCAAAAGTAATTTTGTTACAATTTTATCATGCATTGCACAACAGAGTTGGGATTTGACTGACTGACTGACAGACATTGACTTGTCAGTCAGTCAGTCAAACGACTTGAGCGGAACATTTATATGAACGTTTCCCAACAAACGAATATTTTTGTTCGCGATTTTGACTGACTGACTGACTGACTGACAGACATTGACATGTCAGTCAGTCAGTCAATCGAGTTGAACGGAACATTTGCCCATCTCTGTTGCACAATCAACGCGACAACTACGATCGAGTTAATGCTTCTCATTTATTCTTGGAAACGGTTCAAGCTTATAAATAAGCGATTATCTCGATAATTCATGAGCATTGTCGTCTTGTGGTCGCTGTGCCAATTTTATTTCAATTTATTTCTGATGTAGTTAAAGTCAGTGTTAGAAAGAGACAAAAATATGTCGAGTTGCATCGATTCAAGAAGCATGAGTGATATGATAAATTGTAACATTTTATTTGTTTAAGCGAGTGTTTTGCTTTGATTAAACATGCATTAAGTAAGTCAATGTTGTGTTTATAGTGTGAAAGAACTCAAACATGCATCATATATTTGTTAGTAATGTTCGTTAATTAAGTAGTAATAATATTGTTTTCCATTCATACGCTGAACATGTGTACACAAATAAAATATTTACATGCATAGATCATAAATCAATCTATAATATATTGGAAAATGTATTTAACGTGTGATAAGGAAGAAGTTATAAAAATAATTCATTTCATTTATTTTGTGACCTTTTAAAAATATTTTTATGTCAACAGTTCATTGGACGACTGTTTGCTCTTAACCGATCTCAATTGGAAAATGAATTTTCTATAAAAAGAAACACTTATTCGAAAGAATACTTGTCCAAATGCTTCTCATTTTTCATCTCGGTTTCTGTTTTCATATCATGTCTAGAATCAATATTTGACTGATTGAGAGACCACTCTGAAGACATCCAGGCTTGAAACTGAATGATGATTATTGGACGTAGAATAAGAAAAGAATTCTTTTTAATTTCGTTGTCGTCGCTTCAGACTTAAATATGAGACGTCCTAAAAATAAACAAATCGAAATGTTTTATTTAGATATTTCTAAAAAGATTGAATGAATGATGGAATTGATCCAAGTTGGATAAAAACATTGCTAAGAGAGTTTAATTGGATCATCATTATAACTGAATTTAACTGAATGAGAGTTGTAGGCGGCAAATCTATCTCATCGAAGTCGTTCTGAGACTCGATTTATTAACGGAATTATTATTGAACTTTCTTATGTAACATAAGATCAATTTATTAATATTTTTAATAAGGATTTCATTAAGTGAAGCATCTGCCTAGACACATTTTTATATCTAATAAATGAATCCAATTTTAAATATAAATGAAATCAAGAAATAATAAAAGACAATTTCATAAATCAACCGACCATAAATGTCATCGTTATTATTTATTTTGTCACTGTGCGCATATTAATTTATATCAGTCAGTGTCAATTGTCATTCGAAGCGCTTAGGAACATCACATGACCCTATCGAAAAAGAAAAGCAGAAAAAGACAAAAAATATGACAAAAAAATCATCAGAAGAACATGAAAAATGATGTTTAAAAATAAAGTCGTGGTGAGCGGTACTTAATGTCATGTCTTTGTCTCATAAGAAAGAACGAAAGAAAAACAAATAATTAAAATTTATTTCAGAATCGACAGCAATAACTTTTTCCCATCTGGCTCTTACGTCACGATCCCTGCTCACTTCCACCGCCATGTGGTGGAAGAAACATCAAAACATATTTTTTTATTACCATAGATTTTGAATTTTAATTAATTTCTCTTTCAGCCGTTTCAGTGAATACTTTCTCGATTAAGTTCATATCGTTTATCATAAGTATGGTAATGTTTAATGAAATGAGAAATCATTTTCATATCTCAATGGAATTAATATGTTCTTTTAAATGTGAAACGGCCACCCTTGAAATTCTTCTTAATTTAATATCAATAATATCTACATAGATACACGTCTAGTTATTTATGTTCATTTAATTTCGAGAGTAATTCTGTGAATTTCGTTTGTCTCTTCTCTCTTCAAATTTTCATCAAATGAGGGGAAATTCAGAAAAATGAGGAATATTAAGGGAAAAGGATAATTCAGTAGAAACTGCTTTACCGACATTGCTTTCAGTTCCCACTCATAGATGGCACTCTTATCGTAAAGTTTCAATTCGTCAATTTTTAGATTCGAATGAATATATGAAAAGTAGCTCAACTCATTTCTAAGCAATCAAAAGAGATAATAAAATAATTCGGATATGTAAATGAAACATTTGGTTCAATATTTTTTTATTTTCATTGAAATAAAATGACTCGATAAAATAATTTAAAGTTATAATGTAAACATGAAAAATGATCAAACGTCTCTTGCTCAATGAAGATGTTTAAGGGAACTTGTGGTTTTTACTTCCCTTTGTCATTTTCTTTCTGAAATTGGAATCGGAAATAAAATTCTCTTGAATTTTTTTAAGAAATGGAATAGAAAGATTTATTCAAATTTTATAGGAAATCAAAAAGATGAAAAGAAACATTAAAGCTTATTACCAATACGTAGCATATAAACGTCATTTTAAAAGAGAGAAAAAAGACAAAGCATGAAGAAATATTTTATTTTTAGA